ACTCCTCTCTCAAACCATTGTTCCTCTCTGTCCAGGATGTGAACATCTTCATCCCTGAAAGAGTGACTGCTGGCCTGGAGATGAGTGTAGACCGCAGAGTCCTGGCCTGATGATGTTGATCTTCTGTGCTGGGCCATCCTTTTGGCCAGTGGCTGTTTAGTTTCCCCGATGTAAGACTGATCACAGCCCTCCTGACACTGAACAGCATACACAACATTACTCTTGTTTGTGCCGGAGGACTGGATCTTTGGGATGAACCAGTCTTTGCCGTAATGTATTTTGGGGTTTAAAAGCCACTGGGACGTTATGTTTAGAAAATAAACGTCTCAGTTTCTCTGATACTCCCTCAACATACGGAATGACCACTGGTCTGGGTTCCTCCTTTTCACCTGATGGCTGACTGAGCATGCATCAGGATATGCTCTACTCAAGGTTTTTAACGACATTCTCCTATTCACAGACGCTGGTGATTCTGTGCTCCTTCTCTTACTGGACCTCACATCTGCCTTTGATACAATTGACCACGAGATCCTCATTGTGAGGTTAGAACAGTGGGTGGGCATCACTGGGTCAGCCCTCGAATGGTTTAGATCTTACCTCGCTGACAGGTCCTTTTGTGTCTCCATCAAAGATTTTAGTTCAGCCTCGGCAGCGCTTAAATGGGGGGTACCGCAAGGGTCCATCCTTGGTCCTCTTTTATTTTCTTTATACCTGCTGCCACTAGGTGCTATTTTCAGGAAACATAACATACCTTTTCATTTCTACGCCGACGACTGCCAAATCTACTTCCCCCTCAGACTCAACGGTACTCGCTCTATTCAACCGTTACTGGACTGCCTGGCTGACATCAGAGATTGGATGGCTTTAAATTTCTTGAGTTTCAACGAGAAGAAATCTGAAGTTATGCTGTTTCCTCCCAATGACACAATCACCAACCACTGCATCGACCTATCCGTTCTGTCACCGTTAGTGAAACAAAGAGTCACTAATCTAGGAGTGATACTTGACCCTTCTCTGAAACTCAACAATCATGTAAATATGTGTTATGTACCCTAGGGTGCCCCTAGTGACACCTTCTAGGTTTTGTACATATGAGCTGCAGTTTTGTTTCTTCTTGGGCATGCCTCTCTATTTTAATCACCTTAATTGCAGTCAGCTTGGGAGTTCTGACTGAAGCTCCTATATAAGCTTCAGAGTGTGGTTCTTAGAGTGCGGAGTCTTGAGGAACTCAGAGGTGGTGGTGCTGTTTGCTGCAGTGCTGTTTGGTACTAGGGTGTTCTCCGCCCACCCTTGTTGTCTCGTTATGAGGTAAGCTCCTGTTGAGGAGATGTGAAAGAGCTGCTGAGTGCTCTTTGTTTGAGATTTAGGCCTGGGTGCTTAATATGCATTTAGACCTTGAGTGTGCTTGTGGAAGCCTAGTTCAGCTCAGGTAGAGGGGCCTGAGCTGTGTGATTGTGGACGTTTGGGTGTTTCTGTTTATTGTCCAGGGAGGTGATTTTGCTGACCGTGGACGGTCCTGCGATTTGGGTCAGTTTTGTTTCTTTCCTCCCGTTCGCTGTAGTCATTCAGACTAAGGCCCTCTGACTGGGTGAGATTTGGTAGTCCTGTTTTCGTTTTTTTTCCTTTACTCCTAGACATCTTTTGGACAGGTAGTCCGCTGTCTGTGAGGCTTCGACGACCCTGTACAGGGTTGGCCCTGCTCAGGCGGCGTTATATTGATTTTGGCCAAACTCACCTGGTCCACCTTTCTTTTTATTACTTTACTTTCTTTTTGTTTGGTGACACGGGTCCTGAAGAAGGTGCTCTCCAGTCCAGGAGGGAGGAGCCCACGAAGACTTCGCCTGCTGCCCGGAGTGATTTATAAAACTTAGGTTTAATAAAGTTTTATTTTTAAACCTTCTTTTGGTGTCCTGTGTCCCTTCAATATGTTCGGTCTGAGCCGGCCGTAACAATATGATTGTTAAATCCTGCTTTTTCCAGCTGAGGCGACTGTCTAAGCTGAAGCCCATATTGTCCAAAAATAACCTGGAGACAGTAATTCATGCATTCATTACATCCTGGCTCGACTATTGCAACTCACTCCTTTTTGGTATCAGTCAGACCTCCATAGCTAGACTCCAACTGGTCCAAAATGCAGCAGCCCGGTTTTTGACCAGCACAAGCAAAAGGGAGCACATTACACCTGTTTTGGCCTCCCTACACTGGATTCCGGTTCACCTTCGAATCAAATTCAAAATACTCTTGTATGTCTATAAATCACTAAACAGCTCTGCCCCCTCCTATCTTACTGATCTGCTCCAGCCGTATGTCCCACCACGTTCTCTCAGATCAGCAGACCAGTTGCTCCTAACAGTCCCAGGAACCCGTCTCAAGCGCAGAGGTGACAGGGCCTTCTCTGTAGCAGGACCAAGACTTTGGAATGAGTTACCTCTGCTCGTTAGACAGGCCCCCTCCCTCACAGTTTTTAAATCTCACTTAAAAACACACTTTTATTCCCTGGCTTTCAGCACTGTATGATCTGTGCTGAGTCTGTGTGCATCACACTGTGTTGGTCATGTTGCGGTTGTTGTCGTTATCCATTATTGTTTTTGTCGGTTGCTACTTTTTGGTGTCCTGCTATGTAATCTGTTGCTGTGTGCTTGTTCTGTTTGTCCCTGTACAGCACTTTGGTGTGCTTTGTCACTGTTTAAAGTGCTTTATAAATAAGTTGGTATGGTATGGTAAATGCATTTTAAAATCGATTTATGGACCTTTAGAAATGATTCAGAATCGCCAGGACTAAGAATCTAGATTCATCGAAAAATCAATTTTTTTTTCGCACCCCTATAACCAAGGTTTTTAATGAAGATGGAATTTTTGAGATTTTCCAGTCTGGTTTTAAACAATTACACAGCACCGAAACAGCCTTGGTAAGGATCTGTAATGACATTCTGTTAGCGAATAACTCTGGTCAGTTTGTGATCCTGGTACTCCTTGACCTTACTGCTGCATTTGATACTGTGGACAACTGTATCCTTATTTCATGGTTAAAACACTGGGTTGGGATTACGGGTGCAGCATTAGAATAGTTCTGTTCATATCTGAGTGACAGAAGTTTTTGTGTCAATGTTGATAATAATTTATCTGCTTCAGTGTCTCTTTCCTGTGGGGTCCCGCAAGGCTCCATTCTTGGAACCCCTTCTGTTTTCATTGTATCTGCTCCCCTTGGGGTCTATCCTGAGGAAACATGATCTTTCGTTTCACATTTATGCTGATAATTCTCAGATTTATTTGCCCTTAAAACATTTGCTCTTTGCTAAAATGTCTTGATGACAAAATGTCTTGATGAAAAACTAGTCCATGCATTTATTACAACCCAGCTGGACTACTGTAACTCGCTTTATGTTGGGGTCAGTCAGGCTTCATTTTCACATTTCCAGCTCTCATAAAATGCTGCAGCTCAGCTATTAACAGGAACTTGTAGGTTTGAGCACATTACTCCGGTTCTGTCCTCTCATCACTGGCTTCCTGGGCGTGTCAGAATTGATTTTAAAATTCTTCTGCTGACAATTAAGTGTGTTAAAGGCCTTGCACCATCATACCTCTTTGACCTTCTTCATCCTTATGCTCCTTCTCGGGCCTTGAGATCATCAGACCAGCTGCTTTTGGCCGTACCAAAAACCAGCTGAAGCTCAGAGGAGATCGAGCGTTTTCAGTCATGGGCCGTAAACTCTGGAACAATCTGCCCATCAACATTAGACAGGCCACCTCAGTCTCTATTTTTAAATCTCTCCTAAAAACACATCTGTACTCACTGACATTTAACACAGGGTGATTCGGTTGAGTATTTCATAGTTTCTGATTGTGTTTATGCATTTTGTTTTATTCCTATTTAACACATGGTCATCTGATCTTATTCAGTATTTCATTCTTTCTGATGTTTTGTGTTTTTTGTTTTTTTTATTCCTGATGCTGGAATTATATCTTGTTAATTTTTAATTGATGCTGTGATCTTTTTGTTAAGTACAAAAAGAAACTGTTAGTAACCGTTCCTGTTTAAAATGTGCTATATAAATAAATCCGACTTGACTTAACTTGACACCCTGTATATTCAACCTTTCTTTAAACAGGTTAGTCCCATTGAGCCTCGAGGACTCATTTACAAGAGAGACCTGATTTCAACAAAGAAAGATGACAACAATAGACACTTATAAAAAGCCATACAGAATTTTATTTATTTATTTTTTTAAATACAAATAAGATGGCAAAAAAGTAACAACAGCAGCTAGATTCTAAGGTGAATGTAGAAAACTAAAAACAGGAACATGTCAGCATTGGTCCCTGCCAGGAGTCCAACATATTCTTAAAGCCACTTAAGAGAGGTCAAAGGTCGAGAGCTTCAAATCTTTTTGTAAGATATTCCAGGAAACAGGAGCGGAGTAGGAGAAGGTCCTTTTGTCTAGTTCAGTCCTCACTGAGGGAACACTGCAGGTAATAATGTCCTGAGAGCGCACGCTGTAGCTGCACTCACACAGAGACATGTAGGAGGAGATGTATGAAGGCAGCAGACCAGGAAGTGATTTAAAGATGAAGATGTACCAGTGAGAGAGTCTGCGTGAAGTTAATGGTGACCAGTTAACCAGTGGATACTGGGTGCAGTGGTGGGTACGGTAGTTACAGCCAGTTATGAATCTTAGTGCACCATATCTGTGTGTACTTCCTGTATATCTGTGTAACCTGTCCTGAACATCTGACCTTGCCAGTAAAAAAAAAAAAAAAGTTAAAAATCTTCTCCTGCCATCGAGTGTTTTTACTCAACTCATTTTGAGTTGAGTAAGTTTTGAGAATATTTTCCTCTAACAGTAGATGCAAGTTAAAAACAACCCAGTGGGAAGAACACTGACCAAACTTCTTTAAATTAGTCTTCAGTTGACCAAACTGAGACAACTTCAAACCCAGCTTCATAGTAAACATGAAATAACAGATGGGTGTGAAACATGTTACAGATGCAATATCCTCACCTTGTGTTTGAAAGGCAAACACCTCTGCAGCTTCACCTGCAGACACAGACCTGCAGAAAGAAAACATGGCTGTCAGAAAAAACTTGTGAGTTGAAAAAAGGTGTTAAAAAAAGGTGTTCACTAGTGAACAAAGAAGCAGCATTTCACCTGGATCTCCTTTAATTCCACACATTTAAAACATGTTTCTCACCAAGTTTGTGTAAATTAATCTGTGGGTTTAAAGACATTTGAACTTTAATACACTTTAACACAGAGCGTCAGGTCGACACTATTTGTGTTTATAGAGAAATAAAAACCACACTGGACTTTACTTGTGTTCAACACTCCTCATGTAAACGATGTTTGTCATGAAGCTCGAGGACAATAAGGTGTGGGGTTAAAGAC